TAGGAAATTCTTTGGAACTCCGATGGAATTCCGACGGAATTATGTTGGAAGTTCCGGCGGAATTTATGATAGAACCTCCAGGAGGCACTTTCCGACGGAATTCAGATTATTTTTTTCAAAATTTTTAGAGTCCTAATTCCGTTGGAATCCCATAGGAAATTCTTTGGAACTCCGATGGAATTCCGACGGAATTACGTTGAAAGTTCCGGCGGGAATTCTGATAGAACCTCCAGGGGGCACTTTCCGGGGAATCTTTTCAAGTGGGATGATACAATTATTGTATAGGTCGCATATGTCCGAAAGAAGCGGGACTTAGTTTACATGGGAAAAAAAATCTTTATTTGAAACAGCGAAATATTTCACTAAAATAGTGAAAGTTTTCGCTATTCTAGAGAAACATATATAGGCTGTTTTAAATAAAAAAAAAATTTTTCCATATGGTATTTTGTTGACAATAGTTGATAATTTTTAAAGCTAAAAATCAGATTAAAAAAAGTTGTGTTTAATTTTTTAAGCGAATTTCCGTAAAAACCCTTTTTTTAAAACTAATTTTCTTTTTTTTTTTTGTTACAGGTGAGTCTATACAAACTTTACAAAACAACCTTTCTTCTTTACATGTAAGTTTGAAACAAAAAAAATTCTATATTTTGATTTTAAGATGTACTTTTACATTTTTTTTTTTTTTGTGTAATTTTTATAATTCATGGCAAAAAAATTTTCACCTGTATATAACGGCGATAAGTTTCACTAAAACAAGGAATGTTTTCGCTATTTTAGAAAAACATATCGCTGTTCCAGATAAAAATTTGTTTCCGTGTTAGATTGGTTTTTTTTTTAGGGGGTAAATTTTAGAGAGTAGGATAGAAAAGTAATTGATGTTTCAATAAGATTAGGGGGAAAGTTAGAATATATATAGGTGTCGACGATTTAATCTGTAACAATTTGTTTTGAGATTTTTTTTTGTTTATTGAATATCTTCCCATATTGTGAAGTAGTTAACGCGAATCTTATATATATATATATATAGTTGCATAGAGTATATTACATATACAGACACCTAGACGACTGTAGCTCGTCTACTGCGTGGTATCGACCTGCACGATTCTTGCGCTTCGAGCTTGCTCTAAGAGACTAAGGTTATGGTTCTAGGAGTGCATTAACCCTTGAGAGCATACTAAGTATAGAGTCAACAGCTAGTGTACAGGCTATGTTACAGCGAGTAATCGCGTTGTTGCGAGGAGCAGAGCAAGAGAGAAAGAGAGAGAGAGAGATAGAGAAAGAGAGGGAAGGATGAGATGGAAAAATAGTTTCTCTCTCTTTCTTTCTCTTACAGAGAGGAGGAGAAAGGGGATCGAGTTTTCGGATCAGGGGGAAAGGAGAGGAACAAGGGAAATCAGACTTTCTCCGTAGAGCGAAAGTGAGAGGGCCTCGGACCACGTACCCGCCCCTATTCCCCCCTATTCACCCCACAATTTGCTTTCACCGCAATGCCAATGCAGTTTTGCGACAACAAAAAAAAAAAAAAGAATAATTTTTACATGAAAACTCGTGGATATTATTTGAAAATTAGTTCTCAAGGTACAACACTATATTTAGACAATTAGTGCGATGAATTATTAACTTGTTTTACTTATTGTAGCATTGACTGTATATCATTTCAATGTATGTAAAAATATTGATATTATGGTTTTAATTTCTTTTTTGTAGTTTTAGATGTGTCATAGGTATTGAATTTTTAATAATTGACTAAATAAAATTTTGGATAGACTATATTTAACATTGGATTTTAGTTAAGCTAACCAGAATTTTGGTTAAATTAACGAATTCAGATTGAAATCAAACAGAATTCTGGTTTTTACCAGAAACTTGGATCAGTATATCATAATATATAAAGTAAACCTTAATTGGAATTCTGGTTAGTACAAATGGAAATTTTGCTAAATTAACTAGAATTCTAGTTGAAATAACCAAAATTCTAATAAAAATAACTAGAATTTTTGCATTAATACCCAGAATTCTGTTTAATTTAACCAGTATCATAATGTTCAATTTATTAGAATCTTGGATCAGTATCATAATGGAAAGTAAACCCTAAAAAGAATTCTGGTTATGCCAAATGGAAATTAGATTAATTTAATTAGAATTCTGATTGAAATAACCAAAATTCTATTAAATATAACTGGAATTTTAGAATTGATAACCAGAATTTTAGTTAAAATAACTAGAATTCTAGTTAATATAACCAGTATCATAATGTAAAATATACCCTTACCAGAATTCTGGTGAAACTAAATAGAAAATCTTTTAAAATAACCAGAATTCTGGTTATGATATATTTTACATTATGATACTGATTAAATTAACCAGAATTCTGGTTATAAAATCAAGAATTCTACTTATTCTGATTAGAATTTCGGTTATCTAACCAGTGTCATAGTGTAAAACATACAATAATCACAAATTCTGGTTGAATTAAATAGAATTCTGGTTAATCCTACCAGAATCATATGTTAAATATATCTGAAATGGAATGATGGATAAATTAAGTAGAATTCTAGTTAATCTAACCAGTATCATAAGGTAAAATATAAAATAACTAGAATTTTGTTTGGATTAAATAGAATTCCGGTTCAAATAAATAGAATTCTGGTTAATCAAACCGGTATCATAATGTTAAAAATACCATTACCAGAATTCTGGTTAATTTAAAAAGTATTGTAATATTTAATATACATAAATTCGAATTCTGGTTAAATTAAATAGAAATCCATTTAAAATAACCAGAATTCTGGTTAATCTAACAGGTATCCTAATGTTAAATTTCCTGGATCTAGAATTTTAATTAAAATAACCAGAATTTTATTAAAATTAATAAGAATTCTGGTTAATCTAACCAGTATCATAATGTAAAATATATAATAACCAGAATTCTGATTTTTAAATTCACTATTCCAGTTATTTTAATTAAATTTTTTGTTATACAAAAAGTACAATAATGTAAACTATACCCTTACCAGAATTCTGGTTAAATTTAATAGAATTTCGGTTAAAATAACCAGAATTCTTGTCATTTCAATTAAAATTTTGATTATTGTATATTTTACATTATGATATCGGGTAGATTAGCCAGAATTTTGGTTATTATATTTAGTATTCTAGTTATTTTAATTAAAATTTTTGTTATCTAACCAGTATCATAATGTAAAATATTCAATAACCAAAATTCTGGTTAAATTAAATAGAATTCTGTTTAAAATAACCAAAGTTCTTGTCAATCCAACCAGTATTATAATGAAAAATATTCAATTACCAGAATTCTGGTTAATCTAAGAAGTATCATAATGTTAAATGTTTTTAAATTCGAATTCTGGTTAAATTTTATAGAAATCCGTATTTAAAATAAATAGAATTCTGGTTTATTTAACAAGTATAATAATGTAAAATATTTCATAACCAGAATTCTGGTCACTTTAAAAGGTTTTTCTATTTAATTTAATCAGAATTCTAGTTCATTAAACCAATATTATATGGTGTTAAATATACCTTAACCAGAATTCTATTTAAATTAAATAGAATTTCGGTTAAAATAACCAGAATTCTGGTCATTTCAATTACAATTTTGGTTATTGTATGTTTTACATTATGATACCGGGTAGATTAGCCAGAATTCTGGTTATTATATTTAGTATTTTAGTTATTTTAATTAAAATTTTTGTTATCTAACCAGTATCATAATGTAAAATATTCAATGACCAAAATAACCAGAATTCTGGTTAATCTAATAGGTGTCCTATAATGTTGAATTTCCTGGATCTAGAATTATAATTGAAATAACCAGAATTTTGTTAAAATTAATTAGAATTCTGGTTCATTGAATCAATATTATAGTGTTAAATATACCTTAACCAGAATTCTATTTAAATTTTAATAGAATTTCGTTTAAAATAATCAGAATTCTGCTTAATATAACGATTATCATAATTTTAAATATTCCCTCACCAGAATTCTGGTTTAATACAATCAGAATTTTTTTCAAGGTAGATTTATTATTAATGATTGTAATTGTTGATATTTATCTTGAAATTAATTATTCGTTAATAATTATTTGCCAATAGTTGGAGATAGTTCAAGAATTGTCTTATGTTTATTTCTGATGATTATTCGAAACAGATGAATACATATATTTGCGCATAGAGTTAGATTTAATATTGGTTTGCGTGTGTTGTGTCATCTCATGTAGCCAAAATTATATAATTGATTGCACTTTTTAGTGTTTATGTCAACTACAAATGAGACTTTTGAATTATAATTAGAAAGTTTGGCTTAGATACCGAACGTTATTTACCGCACTCTATAGATATATATATATATATATATATATATATATATATATATATATATATATATATATATATATATACACGCAAGTTCGACGACCTTTCATGGAAGAAAGAGACGCGAATCGAACCGCTTCGTTGGAAGCTTGCGTTCTCCAGAGAGAACACCAAAGATTAATCTATATGGAGGAATTTATGAAAAGTTGTGTGTGTGTGTGTGTAGAAAACATTTGTCAACGCGAAAAAAAATCATTTCGTTAAAATTCAAAATAGTAGATTATTTTTAGATTTTGTTTGATATAGTAAACATTTTCTTTTTCTTCTGTATATTTATTATAACTTAACATTATTTTATACATTCGTTATATCAAAACGTTTACAAAAATTAATTTTTGTTCGTAATTTTAATTACACTTAATTTTTTAATAAAAAAATTTTTTTTTTTTAATACAAAACTTTTTGTACATTTGTCGAAAATTAATTTATACAGATTTTTTTTTACTCACACTCTAAATCTAAATAAAAGTAAGCTATTAATTTAAATTAGTAAAAACTGTCACTAATTTTTCAGTTACTTTTTTTTCTAAAAATTTAGTAAAAAAAAAAAAATTAAAAACTACTAAATTAAATAATAATATTTTACTAAAAATTAGGAAAAATTCTTACTAATGTAAATTAGTAGCTCACTTTTCAATTAATTCAACTATTTAGAGAGTGTAGAATTCATTAATCTATCTAGAGGAAATTTATTCATTAATTCATATATATTTATGATGTACAATCAACAAAAAAAGAGCATTTTCTGGTTAGATTGAATTTCTTCGATAAAACGAAAAAAAAACAAAATGACATTGTGTCAAAAAAAAAAAAAAGATAATGATGATGAGTTTTGTGGACGGAATATTAATTCATTTTGACAATAATAGCAACTTGCTCTCCTCTCAATAATAATTGTGGCACGTGCCTTTCCAATGTTTCCATTTTTTTCGTCGTTTTTTGTATTATCACTTTCGGTATGCTTTCGTCTTTTTCTACACTATTCGTAGGACCTAAAAAAAAATAGAAACAAATTAATTTAAATTGAAATTAAACTTAAAATTACAATAATTAATTAAAATATAATAAAAAAATATTGGACGGAAAAAAAAATTTACCTGGAACAGCGATAAGTTTCACTGGAACAGCAATATATTTCACTAAAACAGGGAAAGTTTTTGCTATTCTAGAGAAACTGTTCCGGATAAAGATTTTTTTTTCCGTGTTGTTATTTAGAAGGAAAAAAATTTTTTGTTTCCTTAAAAAATTGTTTACAGTTTGCAATTTGATAAAGTTTATTTTTAGATGATTGAGAAAAAAAAACAGATTATAATTTTTCTTTTCCTGACAATGTTGCGTGAAATTTTTTTTTTACATAATAGCTATACACTTGTTGATACAAGTTTGTTTATAAAAAAATATTTGCCTTATTATAATTTTCTAGAGCAGTTATAATTTTTTTTTCTACACGGAGAAAAATAGAAAAACGAATAAAGTAACTTTTACAATACTTTAAAAGTAAAACCTGAACTGTCGGGGGTTTCTCTGCATTTCTAATAATTTTTACTCCGAAAATAGTAAAATTTACTCCTGAAATAGTAAAAATTATTCCAGAAATAGTAAATTTTACTATTTTCGTAGTTACTGCGCATTTCTGTAAATTTTACCCCAGAAATAGTAAAATTTATTCTGAAAATAGTAAAATTCACTTTTAAAAAAGTAAAATTTACTTCTGTAATAGTAAAAATTATTCATGAAATAGTGAATTTTACTATGTTCTAAGTTTCTGCGCATTTCTGTCAATTTTACTCCAGAAATAGTAAAATTAATTCTGAAAATAGTAAAATTATTCCTGAATCAGTGAATTTTACTATTTTCTAAGTTTCTGCTCATTTCTGATAATTTTTACTCTTGAAATAGTAAATTTTACTGTTTTCGGAGTTTCTACGCATTTCTGATAATTTTTACTCAAAAAATGGTAAAATTTACTACTTCCGAAATAATTTACTCTTCAACTAGTAAAAATATTTTAGAAATAGTAAATTTTACTATTTTCGAAGTTTTTAGGCATTTCTGATAATTTTTACTCCTAAAATAGTAAAAATTATTCCGATAATAGTAAATTTTTATTATTTTAGAAGTAAAAATTACCAGAAATGCGCAGAAACTCCGAAAATAGTAAAATTTACTATTTCCAGAATAATTTTTACTATTTCAACAGTAAAAATTATCAGAAATGTGCATAAACTTTGAAAATAGTAAATTTTACTATTTCTATAATAATTTTTAGTAATTCAAAAGTAAATTTTACTAGTTTCGGAGTTTCTGCGCATTTCTGTCAATTTTACTGAAAATAGTAAATTTTACTATTTTCGGAGTTTCTGTGCATTTTTAATAATTTTTACTCCGAAAATAGTTAAATTTACTCTTGTAACGGGTAAAATTATTTCAGAAATAGTAATTTTTTACTATTTTTGGAGTAAAAATAGAAATCGCGCAGAAACTCCTAAAATAGTAAAAATTTTTATCTCCGGAATAATTTTTACTATTTCAGGAGTAAAAATTATCAGAATTGCCCAAAAACTTCGAAAATAGTAAAATTTACTATTTCTAAAATATTTTTACTAGTTCAAGAGTAAATTTTACTATTTTCGGAGTTGCTGCGAATTTCTGACAATTTTTACTCTGAAAATAGTAAAATTTACTCTTATATTGAAAAAATTATTCCAAAAATAGTAAATTTTACCATTTTTTTGAGTAAAAATTATCAGAAATGCGCAGAAAGACCGAAAATACTAAAATTTACACCTAAAATAGTAAATTTTTACTATTTTTGGAGTTACTGTGAAATTTTGTCAATGTTTAATTCAGAAATAGTAAAATTTACTCCTGAAATAGTAAAAATTATTCTGAAAATAGTAAATATTTCTATTTTTGAAGTTTCTGCGCATTTCTGATCATTTTTACTCCGAAAAAAGTAAAATTTACTACTTCCGAAATAATTTTTTCAATATAAGACTAAACTTTACTATTTTCGGAGTGAAAATAGTCAGAAATACGCAGAATCTCCGAAAATAGTAAAATTTATTATCTCCGAAATAATTTTTACTATATTCGGAATAAATTTTACTATTTTCAGAGTAAAAAGTATAAAGAATGTGCAGGAACACCGAAAATAGTAAAATTTACTATTTCCGGAATAATTTTTATTATTTTAGGAGTAAAAATCACCTGAACTGCGCAGAAACTTCGAAAATAGTAAAATTTACTATTTTTGGAATAATTTTTACTAATTCAAGAATAAATTTTACTATTTACCGAGTAAAAATAAAAAAAAATGCCCAGAAAATCCGGACAATTTAGAATTTACTTTTAAAAAATTGTAAAAGTTACTTTATTCGTTTTTCCATTTTTCTCCGTGTATATATATATATAAATTATTAATGAAGGGAGAGAAAAATTCAAAAAATAATCTTCTATTTGAATACGGGGTAGATAATTTCATTTTTTCTTGCCTTTTTTTTTTTTTTCTTAAAATCAAAATGGGAATAAATCTATCATTTCTAATATGTATATATATATACATCTCTCGAATGTTATTTAATATTGTCTCGTTAGAAGGAAATAAAAAATTGTCGCAAATAATTTATGTGTGTCGGGGAATTTTTCGACACTTTGTTTACATGATGGAAAGGATTTTGATATAGCGGAGGGGAAGAAGAAAAAAAAAAAAAATAAAGTATAGGGAAAAAAGGTCTTTGACCGGTTTTTTTTCGGGGATGGGAGAGGGTTGAAGAAGAGAAGGACACGTGTAGTACTAACAATCGATCCTGAGCTTACTCTTCAAGGTCGGTGGTTGCCTCTTGTCGACAACGAATCAACGACCTCTCTTTCTCTCTCTCTCTCTCTCAGCCCCCGGAACTCAAAGTGCGTCACTAGGACAGCTATCCCTGAACTCCCCACGAACCAAGAACGCTCAAAATACCCTCTTTCTTTCAACACATAAATACACACATACACACACACACATAGACTCCGGAGAAGCCATTCAGAGATGGAAAACTGTCGTATCCACTCTAGATCTTATCCTTTTGCAACTTCAAAAGCAGGTCAGGCTTCCAGACAATTTTCTTCTATATTTATATTTTGAGAGGCTAAAATTCTGATTATTTTTAAGTTTTCATTAGGTCCTTTTGTTACGTTAAATTTAGAATATGATTTTAAAAGTATTTTATTAGAAACAATTTTATTTTTTTTTTGACTAATTTTCGAATCTAAAAATTTGGAAAGATTTTCCTTCTATTGGAATTTTTACACTGAAAAAAAATTCTAGTTAGAATAACCAGAATTCTGGTTAGGGTATATTTAACATTTTAATTCTGGTTATTTTAACGAGAATTCTAGTTAATTCAACAAGAATTCTGGTTAACATAACTAGAAAGTAATGTTAAATATAGCCAAACCAGAATTTTTTTTTCAGTGTATATACATAATAAAATTCTTAGCCACCAACGAATATTTGTTTGTCAGAATATTTTATTTTACAGTGTATTTTTATTTCATGATTTTTTATATTTAAGAGAATTTTAATTTAATTCGAATTCTCATTCAATTGAATTTTTATAGTGATTCAAATTTTTTAAATTGAACTAGATTAGTTCGGATAATCATCGGTCCCATTGTACATCAGTTGAACCTCAATAAGTGAGACGCCTCTATAAATCAGGTTCAAATGTAGCTACGATTTTTAATTTCCGTATTAATTCTTACTGTAAATTTTAATTTGTCCAAAATTTTATTTTTACAAATTTTTAATAAATAGAATCTTTGAATTTAAATTAGTAAAAATTTTAAATAATTTGAATCAGTGACTGAATTTTTGCTTTTGAATTTGTTAAATTTTACTAAATTCGATAGTAAAAAGATTTTTTTTTTTACTATTAATTAGTTAAATTAGTAATTAGAATTGGAAAAATTTAACTAATTCAAAAGCAAAAAGTGAGTCACTGATTCAAATTAGTTAAAATTTTTACTAATTCAGAGCAAATAAATTTTTTTCAAAGTATTTACAATAAACGAAGTTACAATAATTAAAAATGACAACAAAAAGTACATTTATAGTTAAAAAAAAAAAGAAAAAAAATTGAAAGTTCAATAATCTTTGTAACGTTTAAAGGGCAATGAAACGAAAGCCGGAAATAAAAAAGCAAGTGCGAAAGATCGGGGATGAAAAGGTAAAGAAAAAGAAAGAGAAAGAGCCACGTGGATCTTGTATCGAACGTGAAACCATTACGTAGTCAAGGTCGGTCCTTGCCCTTTGCTTCGAAACGACCCTTAAGGCACTTTTTGTAATATTACACCCTTTTGCCGCACGCGTTCCTTTTTTTTCCTTCCTCTCTCTATATAACTATATACGAAAAGAATATGGAACAAAAAAACCTTTTTTTTTCGTTTCAAAAAAAAATTCTCATCGATTATAAATTTTGAAAAATTAGAAAAATTTTATTTTTCTCTTGTTTTACATAGTAAAATTTTTTTTTTTTATTATTTAAAACGTTGCAGAAAATGAGTCTTGTAAATAGATATTTTTACATAGGGAACATAATATAGTTTTTTTTTTTTTTTTTTTTTTTTTTTTATTCATTCACTCGTCCCTTTAGCGTTTGTGGTTTGTATGTATATGAAACAAGTGGCGTAGGATTATGACAAGAAATAAACGAAATCGGACTCCGTTTTGTCGACGACGACACCGTTTTCAAGTAGAGCGTACGAGCGTGTTATATGAGTCAAGGTCGGACCTTGCGGTGCTCTTAACAAGCCTTTTAGAGGCGCGTCACAGTAGATTATCGGCGGATAATAATTGACTTGTGATTTTTCGGCTAAAAAAATTTTTATACACTCAAAAAAAAAAAAAAAAGATTTCTTTAATTCAAAGAAATCAATTTCTTTGATTCGAAGAAATCAATTTCTTTGATTCAAAGAAACTAATTTCTTTGATTCAAAGAAACCAATT